AATTCATTCTATGTGATGGAAGCCTGGTGGGACTTTGAGGGCAGGAGATGAGGTGTGAGAGTCAGGGAAAGATTAAGCCTAAAGGTCTTTGGACATTGTGCAAAATGGAATCTGATGCTTTGTGATAGAACATAATGAAAAATAATAATTTCTGTAGTCATAAAATCCCTTTTATCTCAAGTGCACTAGAGGTCAGTGTTTCAAGGTCTCCATCTTGTTTTAAGGTTTGTTGCCATTCTGAATATGTCGTTAGCCATTTATAATTTATTTAAACATAGCGTGTTGAATGTCATGTTTACTCACCACTATAATAGATCATACAGAGCTATACCAAAAAGTTTCTCTGATATGGGCCTATAGTTTATGGTGTAAGGACAGTGATTTTGGAGCCAGACCTCAGCCGAAGTTCAGAATCTGCTACTTAACAACTGACTGATCTTGTGCAAGCTACTTCACTGAACTTCAGCTTCATCCTCTAGAGTTGTAATGCTTAGCCACAGGGCCCCCACAAATGGCTGTGCAGGTTGTTCACTGCACAAGAGCACTCAGCCAAGGTGGTGAGAAGGGTCTCAATTTCAGCTTGTATTTTGCTGTTCACCATCCATTCCCAAGTGGATTTCATCTATCATAAATAAAGGCACACAAAAGTGTCTTTAAGGCTAACCTTAACCAAATGTCTGGTACATGGTAAGAGATAAATAGTAGCTACTATCATCATGATCACGATATCATCATCAATATAAAATGATCATCACCATCCTTTTATTATGATGATGAACAGATGGTTTTTTATAAATACCATACCCTAATGGCTCCAGGATAAAATCTGCCTCCCTCCCTCAAATCAAGGATGAAGTAAAATCCACATGAAGGCATTAGGAATAACAAGAGAATTCAGAGTGAGACAGGGAACACTTTTAAGGTTCAAGGACTTTAGGCTTTGAACTTAAGGTGTGACAGACAATTCAAAGAGTCCCAAAAGGGAGGTAAACTCTTCTGTTTTTGTATAACTAGTTCATTTATTCACCAAGACTGCCATTTTGAAGCCAATCCAGTAGGGATTGGGCTGCATTGGGAGTGTTTTCTACATCATCTGTGGTTGCTCCCTTTTCTTCCAGACTTCCTGCTTGTTCTTAGGACAGTAGTTGGTAACCCCCATATAACTACTATTCACATTGCAAAGTGACTGCCATTCAGACTCAGAAATCCATTATACTTTATGCTTTTTGGCTTATGTAACTTTTGCTTGAAAACATTGGATGTGCAGTAATAACCCATAACTGAGATTGCCACGAATTTAATTTGTGATATTTGAATTCTTAATCATTCTTTCCTGATTGTTAAATACCTTTAAAAGAAGGCATCTTCTGGAAGAAAAAAATATATACATCTCAAATACTTAGCTTTTAAATAAGAACTAAGAAAAAGTATCTTTTTAAAAACTTGCCCTTGAAATTACTGCTTCTGGGAATTACAACTCCTACACAGTCTGTGGGGTATTTCTTTGTATGCACGGAGAGTCTCAGATTTACTTGAATTCCCTTCCGTGGTTTTACTGATTTGTGTGTGTGTGTGTGTGTGTGTGTGTGTGTGTGTGTGTGTGTTAGTTCTAATAAAGCCAACTATAATTATAGAGGAAATGCTTAAATAGGGGTAGAAGCACTAAAATGAGGAGGGCATAGGAGCCACATTTAGTAAACTGAGCATCTGTGGTTTTTGAAATCGCTAAGGATTGTAACAAATGGTATGTTTCTAGTGAATATCCTGCCAGGGTTTTAGAGTGCCATATTTACTTATCAGTAAGTAGTGAATGAATGAGGAGGCACAATCCAGCATAGATTTTGAAACATCCTACAAGATGCTATGAAGTCCAGAATAGGACAAAAAAACTCAATTTGACAGCAGCTCTTTGATGACATTTTCACATGTAACTGAATGGCTTCCTTCCTTAATAATTTTATAGCCATCAGAACATAGTACGCTCTCTAGGCTTCTCTACCAATCACTGAAATATTGATCTAAAGAAGCCTCAGAACTATTATTTTACAAGCCTGTAGAACAATATTTTCCAGACTGTATTCTGAAGACCACCTTCAGAATTATTCGCTGGCTTGGAATTATTCGCTGGCTTGTTAAAATGCACATCCCAAGGTACCACCCAAAGCTACTGAATCATAATTTTGGGGTGGGGTGAGGGACCTTACATTTTTAACAAGATCCCCAGGTGATTCTCCTGTAGCTCAAGAACTTCTAGGAAATGATAGCGGCCTCATGGCAGATGACAGTAATAGGTCATAGAATACACAGAATTGTTAAACTGCAAAACCAATAATGAATAGAAAATTGTTATGATCTTTTCATGAAATTAAAGAATAGGATAGCAGTATAAGATAATACGCATATCCTTGGCTTAAATCAATAGAGTTACAGAAAAAAAATGCTCAGAATCAATGTCTGTGGAATTTGCTTATTTATTGTGTCATCAGTGAAACAAAAATTCTAAAGCCACTTGATAAAAACGTAATCTGTTCAGTAGTTGTGCGCGGTAACCACGATCACCTTTGTGCCTTTATGGGAAGCTATCAGTGAGGACTGGCCCAGACTTGCCTAGTAATGACTGCTAGAGACCAATGGGAAAAGATCAGAGATGGTGGAAATGAATGAAGATAATTGCTTAATTTCAGGATTGAGCTTTGAATAAGAAAGGGTTCCACACATGTTTCTTATGTTGGTCCCACACTGCTATTCTATTAATATGATCTCATGGATAGGTCTTTCTGGCAAATCTGGCCATAGGATTTTAGACAGTTGTAAATGTTGACTACTTTCCCACACTGTGTACTGTAGAGCTGCTTTCCTTGCACAGGGAAAAAGAGATATGACATACTTGTCATCTGGTTTGGGTTGTGCAAGTTGAGCACATCCTAGCCATTGTCCTAGCTCCCTGTACATTCTTGGTATATTAGAACATCCTAAGGTGTTGTCTACAATGCTTTTGTAGAATGATTTAACACAAGTTCCATCTGTTATGGTTCAAACCTTTTGACAAAAAAAGAAGTTTTTAAAAAAAATTTTTTTTTAATGTTTATTTATTTTTGAGACAGAGACGGAGCATGAACGGGGGAGGGTCAGAGAGACAGGGAGACACAGAATCCAAAGCAGGCTCCAGGCTCTGAGCTGTCAGCACAGAGCCCGACGCGGGGCTTGAACTCACGGACCGCGAGATCCTGACCTGAGCCGAAGTCGGACGCTTAACCAACTGAGCCACCCAGGCGCCCCCCAAAAAGAAGTTTTACAATGTTGGCATTGGAAGCTTTATCTATAACATGTATACCATCATGCTCATGCTCATGACCAGACATATAACACGCACACAACACATCGCTTTCTGTTAATTAGAAAGATTGCCCATATTGCTTTCGAAAAGACCTTATTTAAGAAGATACTGTTTATTCAATGAAAACATCTAATACGAAAATTACACTGGAAATGTTATCATATGAATACCTTTGTCTCTGAAAATGAATCACTGAGAATTCTTTAATTTGTTTTCTGTCACCATTTGCCTGAGAAAAATTTTACCAAACATTTTCTGAGAAGATACAAACTTTGGATGTTCACTTATTTGGTAAATATTTATTGAGCATTGTGTGCTAGGGACTGAAATGGATGGGTACTATGCACTACCATTGCATGTGAGGCTATGAGAGGCATGTTATAGAGTTTGGTCTTTAAGCTAAGAGCTGTGGGCTGTTGTAAGGTTTCATGCAGTGGGGGAGGCACTGTCAGATTTGTGTTTTGAAGAGGTCATTCTGGCTGCAGTGTGGGAGGCTGATTGGCAGGGTCCAGAGTAGCTTAGTTAGGAGGCTATTTCCATTATTTTAAGTAAGAGGTTATGGTATCTTACTCTATGTGATGGAGAGAGGTAGACAGAGTTGAGAGCCATTGAGAAGGTCAAATCCATGATGCTGGGTGTGGGACTGGGTGGAGGTAGGGAGAGGGCAGTGGGTCTCTGACTGGTGTGGCAGAATGACTGATGTTGTGTTTACTCATATAGAAAACGCCAAAAGAAAACCTAGACTTTTTTTCAGGGGCAAGGGAGGGATAATCATGAGTTTAATTCTTTTTCTTTTTCTTTTTTTAAAATATGAAATTTATTGTCAGATTGGTTTCCATACAACACCCAGTGCTCATCCCAACAGGTGCCCTCCTCAATACCCATCACCCACCCTCCCCTCCCTCCCATCCCCCATCCACCCTCAGTTTGTTCTCAGTTTTTAAGAGTCTGTTATGTTTTGGCTCCCTCCCTCTCTAACCTTTTTTTTTCCTTCCCCTCCCCCATGGTCGTCAGTTAAGTTTCTCAGAAAAACAAATAATCCAGTGAAGAAATGGGCAGAAAACATGAATAGACACTTCTCATGAATTTAATTAAAATGAAATGAGCCTGAGGTGCCTTTGAAGCAGCCAAGTAGGCAGTGGGAAATGTAAATCCAGAGTTGGGAGGAGAGGCCTGTACTGCAGATACTCCTTTGGGAGTTGTCTCATAGAAGTGGCTGCTGAAGCTGCAGGCCCTGTGAAGACTGGCTGGGGAGAGACTGTACAGCAAGGAGGAGAGGGCTCTCAGCAGTGAATAGCTGGATGGAGGAAGGTGGGCCCAGAAAGGGGGCTGGGAAGGGGTATCTGGAGAGTAGGAGGGAGACCAGAGTGCTGCATCACACGGTTACAGGGAGAAGATGTTGGAAGAAGGAGCAACCGGTCAGCAGAATTGAGTGCTGCGAAAAGGCAGTAACGCAAGGACAGTGGCGTACACAGTGCACGAGAGACTTGCCTAACTCCAATGTCCACAGAGACAATGGGTTTAGAAGCCAGAGTAGAGTCAGGTCAGATGGAGAAGGATGCAAAGGGAGGCAGAATGAACATTGACACCTCCCTTTGTTTAAAGAGGAGAGGCAAACCATAAGAGACTCTTAAATACAGAGAACAAAGGGAGTTTGATAGAGGGGAGGTAGATGGGGGGGGATGGGCTAAATGGGTGATGGGCATAAAGGAGGGAACTTGTTGAGACAAGAACTGGGTGCTATATGTAAGTGGCGAAATCACTAGTTTCTACTCCTGAAACCAAGACTACACTGTATTGCTTAATTAATAATTAATTTGAATTTAAATTATAAATAAATAGCCCCCCCCCAAAATAAATAAATAAATAAATAGCCCAAAAAATGAAGTGTTGTGTGTAGATTTCTTAAGATGGAGCTGGTTCATAATAAATATTCAATAAATGGTGGCTGCTATTCTTATATTTTTTTAAAAATTTTTTTCAATGTTTATTTTTATTTATTTATTTATATTAATGTTTATTTATTCGGAGACTGAAAGGGCGGACCTACGCCGGCCGACTCCATCTTGTTCTGTGTCCTCCACCTTGACCACGCCTCCTCCCCTTGAGTAACCTCCCACTCACCCGTTCAAACTTCCCAATCAAAACATGCCCGGCGATCTGTGTAACAGGACTCCGACCCTTCCCCAGCGAATCGGCTGAGGCCACAGCCATTACCTCACCAACTGCCCCTAGACCTCAATAAAACCTTTGTGCTTTTGAAACTCGCTCTCTCTCCCCGGTATCTCACCGCTGCGTCGGCGCAGGTAGGGGATTGAGCTCGAGCTAGCTCGAATAAAGGCTCTTTGCTTTTGCATCGGACTTGGCTCCCTGGTGGTCTTTGGGGATCACGAATTCTGGGCATAACATTTGGGGGCTTGGCCAGGGATCCCCAAGATCCCTGAGGGACCCCCGATCTGGAGAGCCTGACTGGCCACGGTTAGTGTCTGTCTGTTTGTTCTGTCTTTTCTGTGTGAGCTCATTTCTGGAATTCTGGTAGTGCCCAACGCAGTCTAAGTGGACGCACTGGAGGACACGGGCTGGGAGTTTCGGAAGATGTTCTGATCCTCCCTTTTGGAGGGATGTGGAATCCCCTCAAAGGTCTGAGACGAGGCGGGTCACTCCTGCCGGTCGGCGTGAGGCCCTCGTCTAGCTTTCGGTTTAAGAGGGACGTGGAATCCTCTCATCAGTTTTGGAGGGATGTGGAATCCCCTCAAAGGTCTAAGCTAGCTTTCAGTTTTGCTTCCATGGAGTTGGAAGACTTTCTAGGGGCCCTCTGTTTGTCTTTGTGTTTCTCTGTTTTGTTCTGTGGACTTACTGGACGGACGTTATGGGACAGACTCAGACTACTCCTCTAAGTATTATGATTGATCACTTTAAGGATGTGAGGGGAAGAGCTAACAACCTCAGTGTGGAAGTCTGAAAAGGCCGGTGGCAGGTTTTTTGTTCTAGCGAGTGGCCAACTTTCAATGTCGGATGGCCACCAGAGGGGACCTTCGACCTCCCTACCATCCACTGAGTCAGGAGTATCATCTCTCGGCCTAAGACGGGCCATCTTGATCAGCTCCCTTACATTATCACTTGGCAGGACCTTGTAGAAGACCCACCCTCTTGGCTTAAGCCCTTCCTAGCCCCACTCCCTCTGGAGCCAAAACCCATTCTTGCTTTGCAGGGGACAAAGAAGGAAAACAAGAAAAGTCTTACCCAGCCTTCAACACCCCTCTACCCTGTCCTACAGGGGGGGACTGAAGAAGAATTAATTTTTCCTCCCCTGTATAACCCCCCTAGGATGCCGGAAGAACACCATCCTCCCCCTCCGGGGGAGGAAGACGCTGTTCCGAGAGCGGGAGGCAGAAACACTCCAGTGGGAAGCCCTCCCTTTACCAGACAAAGGACTTGGAGGGAGCAATCCACCTCTGCCGCCGACTCCACTATTCTGCCCCCGAGAGCCACCGGATCCCCAGACGCGGAGGGGAATCAGCCCCATCACTATTGGCCTTTTGCTACTAGTGACCTCTATAATTGGAAAGCTCAGAATCCTAAGTTTTCCAAGAAACTGGCAGGGCTTATTGATTTATTAGACTCTGTTCTTTTTACCCACCAGCCCACATGGGATGATTGCCAGCAGCTTTTGCACGTCCTGTTCACGACTGAAGAAAGAGAAAGAATCCTCAATGGGGCCCGAAAACTAGTTCTGGGTACAGACGGGAATCCCACCACCAACCAGACTCATATAGATGCCTCCTTCCCCTTAACTTGGCTCCAGTGGGATTTCAACACGGCAGAAGGTAAGGAGAGGCTCCAGGTCTACTGCCAGACTCTAATGGGGGGGGGGGGTCTCCGAATGGCTGCTAGAAAGCCAACCAATTTGGCCAAGGTAGGAAATGTATAACAGGGAAAAGATGAATCTCTGGCTGCCTTTTTAGAATGGATCATGGAGGCATTCCGTACCTATACCCCCATGGATCCAGAGGCTCTGGAAAGCAAGGCAGCTGTTATCATGGCCTTTGTAAACCAATCGGCCATAGACATTAGGAGAAAATTACAGAAAATAAATAGACTAGGAGAAAAAAGTCTGCAGTACATATTGGTGGTAGCCAAAAAGGTATATAATAACTGGGAGCCTCCTGAGGACAAGCAGGCTCCCACCATGGCAGCTGCCAGCAGTAAGCAGACTCGAGACCGGGCCAGAATACTACTAGCTACCACTGCTGACTTCCCCAAGGGACAAGACCGCTGTCTCCAGCAGCTGGCAGACGACGCAAGAAAAGGTAAAGGAACCACCAAGCGGGGGGGAAGCAGAGGCTGCAGAAAGATCAATGCGCATACTGCAAGGAGATAGGGCATTGGGCCCGAGATTGTCCGAAAAGGGCTGGCGGGAAGGGAAGGAAGACTGATCCAGTAAAAGTCCTAGAGCTAGATGAACTAAGCGATTAGGGGAGTCGGGGTTCGGACCCTCTCCCCGAACCCAGGGTAACTCTTAAAGTGGAGGGGACCCCTGTTGACTTCCTTGTCGACACCGGAGCACAACATTCGGTCCTCCACACCCCACAAGGAAAACTAGCCAGCAGGAAGTCCTGGGTACAAGGGATGACTGGTATGAGCCAGTATTCATGGACTACCCAAAGAACGGTAGATTTGGGGACGGGCCAGGTATCCCACTCCTTTATGGTAATACCAGAATGCCCCTACCCGCTGTTAGGACGGGACTTACTGACCAAGATTGGGGCTCAGATAACTTTCAGACAAGGGGGGCCTCAGGTCACCGATGGCAAGGGCCACCCCATCCAGGTCCTGACCATGAAACTGGAGGATGAATACCTCCTCCACCAGGAGGCGCTCCCAAGAGAGGATAATATAGACAGATGGCTACAAGAATTCCCCTTGGTTTGGGCCGAGACGGGGTGGGGGGGGAGGGGGGTTGGTGGATAGGACTAGCCACTTACAGGACTCCGGCCCTGGTAGAGCTCAAGCCAGGAGAGAGTCCGGTAAGGATCAAACAATACCCCATGTCTCAAGAGGCCGGGAAGGGGATCCAGCCACACATCCGGAGACTACGATGTCTAGGGGTACTAGTTCCTTGCCAGTCTCCCTGGAACACCCCCCCTACTGCCGGTCAAAAAACCTCACACAAATGACTACCGACCCGTACAAGACCTCCGGGAGGTAAATAAGAGGGTCATGGACATACACCCAACTGTTCCCAACCCATATACTCTCTTGAGCTCCTTGGCGCCCTCCAGGGTCTGGTATACTGTACTAGATTTAAAGGACACCTTCTTCAGTCTGCCGCTGGCACCCCAGAGCCAACCCTTGTTCGCCTTTGAGTGGCATGATCCGGAGGAGGGCTACAGTGGGCAACTCACCTGGACACGGCTGCCTCAGGGATTCAAAAATTCGCCCACCATCTTTGACGAGGCACTACACGAGGACCTGGGTGAGTACAGAAGGGAGCACCCTGGCCTCACCGTCCTACAGTACGTAGATGACATCCTGATTGCTGCCGACACGGCCAAAGACTGTGAGCGAGGGACCCAGGACCTGCTGGCTACCCTGGGGGCCTTAGGGTACCGGGCATCTGCGAAGAAGGCTCAGATATGCAGGGAGAGGGTAAGTTACCTGGGATATATACTGGAGGGCAGACAGCGGTGGTTATCAGATGCCAGAAAAGAAACTGTCCTAAAGATCCCTACTCCCACCTCCCGAAGTAAGGGAATTCCTAGGATCAGCCGGCTACTGCTGCCTCTGTGTTCCAGGTTTTGCTGAGATCGCCAGGCCCCTATATGAAGCTACCAAAGAGGGGAAAACATTTAAATGGGCTGAAAAAGAAGAAACTGCCTTTAATCAGTTAAAAAAGGCCCTCCTAAGTGCCCCAGCCCTGGGCCTACCAGACATTACGAAGCCCTTCCACCTCTTCGTAGACGAACATAAGGGAATAGCAAAAGGGGTTCTAACTCAAGCCTTAGGCCCTTGGAACCACCCGGTGGCTTACCTGTCCAAGAAACTAGACCCAGTGGCTGCCGGCTGGCCGCCATGCCTAAGAATTATTGCGGCGACCGCATTCCTAGTCAAGGACGCAGACAAACTGACCCTAGGGCAGGAGGTCTGGATCACGACCCCACACACCACTGAAGGGGTCCTGAAACAGCCTCCTGATAGATGGATGAGCAACACATGTATGACTCATTACCAGAGCCTCCTACTCAACCCTCCACGAGTGCGGTTCCACCCCAGTGCAGCCCTCAGTCCTGAAACCCTGCTGCCCGACCCTGACCTAGGTGCTCCACTACATGACCGTGTGGGAATCCTGGAACAAGTACATGGATTCCGGACGGACCTGACCGACCGGCCCCTCCCCGATGCCGAGGCTACTTGGTTCACAGCAAGCTTTGTGCAGCAGCTTTGTGCGAGACGGACACAGGTATGCGGGTGCAGTGGTGGTCACTGAAACGGACACCGTATGGACGGAGGCTCTACCCTCCGGAACGTCAGCCCAACGAGTGGAGCTCATAGCCCTCACCAAGGCGCTGACGCTGGGAGCTGGAAAACGGCTTAACATCTACACAAACAGCCATTATGCGTTTGCCACAGCTCATATTCATGGGGCAATTTCAGGAGTGGGGGTTACTGACGGCAGAAGGACGGACTATAAAAAATAAGCAGGAGATACTTAACCTGCTTACAGCCTTATGGCTTCCTGCCAAGGTAGCCATTATCCACTGCCAAGGGCACCAAAAAGCTGATAACCCACTAGCTAGAGGTAATCAAAAGGCTGACCAGGCAGCCAAGGCAGTAGCCCTTACTTCAGTCCCCACCATGACCATACAACTACCAGACCTGGGAGACCCAGTTTTACCAGACCAGCCCAAATACTCCCGGGGGAGTTACAGCGGATCAAGAAACTCCCCATGGCCCAGGAGATAAAGGGATGGTGGTATACACATAACAAGGAGCTCGTGTTGCCAGACCAGCTCGGAGTCTCAATATTAGAGCACATGCATCGGTCTACTCACATGGGGGCCCGAAAATTAAAAGACTTAATCCGACATGCCAGAATCAAGATTCACCAACAGGACACCAAAATAGAGCAGGTTATATCTGCCTGCAAGACCTGCCAACTCACCAACGTGAGAGCCACCTCAAATAAAAAAGGAACCAGGCTCAGAGGCACCAGACCAGGAGCCCAATGGGAAGTCGACTTCACTGAAGTCAAACCAGGAAAGTATGGTTATAAATATCTTTTAGTAGTTACAGACACCTTCTCTGGCTGGGTGGAGGCATACCCAACCAAGCATGAAAAGGCTCAGACGGTGGCTAAGAAGCTACTAGAAGACATCTTACCCAGGTATGGTTTTCCTGCCATGGTAGGATCAGACAATGGACCAGCTTTTTTCTCACAGGTAACATAGGCAGTAGCCAAGGCGGTGGGGGCAAACTGGAAATTACATTGTGCTTATAGGCCCCAGAGCTCAGGACAGGTAGAAAGAATGAATAGAACCCTAAAAGAGACCCTTACCAAATTAACCATGGAGACTGGCGGGGACTGGGTGACTCTCCTACCGTATGCCCTTTACCGGGTTAGGAACACTCCTTACACCTTGGATTTTCCTCCCTATGAGATCATGTTTGGCAGGCCACCCCTTATTATTCCCAATCTTTGAGCTGAACTTCTTGCTGAGTTTAAAGATCAAGAACTTTTTCTTTCCTTTAGAGGGCTCCAGAGGGCGCACGAGGACATTTGGCCACGCCTCCGTGCCATCTACGAGGCTGGTCCGACTCTGACACCTCATCAGTACAGGCCGGGAGACTAGGTCTACGTCAAGAGGCACCACCGAGAGACCCTCGAGCCGCGCTGGAAGGTACCCTACATCGTGGTGCTGACAACCACCACTGCTCTCAAAGTAGACGGCATCGCGACCGGGGTCCATCACACCCACGTTTGGCCAGCGGACCCCTCCTTGATCCGGAAGGATTTCGTCACGAGATGGGCCGTAAATTGGGACCAACACAACCCGCTCAAGCTCAAGCTACAGCACATTTGGCCCACCTAATATTGGTAACTCTGTTAACTCTGCTTGTCATTGCTCATGCTGCCGGGAGTCCCCACGCCCCCCAAAACATCACCTGGCAGATCATAGACACCAGCTCAGGGACAATACTTAATCAGACCTCCCAGAGCCACCCCAGGGACATTTGGTTCCCAGAACTTTGTGTAAACCTCCAAACTCTGTTCCCCTTGTCACCATAAATGCAGCCGGTACCATGATTGGGTCCGTAAGCTACATGACAAGGGAGGAATGAAAGGGCGGACCTACCCCGGCCGACTCCATCTTGTTCTGTGTCCTCCACCTTGACCACGCCTCCTCCCCTTGAGTAACCTCCCACTCACCCGTTCAA